ACTGAAGAGATATCTTCACCCTATATTTATCGAAGCACTATTCACAATAGCCAAGAAATGAAATCAACCTAGGTGTCCATCAACAGATGAATTGATAAAGAAAACGCAGTATATATCCACAATAGAATACTACTCAGTTATGAAAAATAATGAAATCCTGTTGTTTGTTGCAACATGGATGAGCCTGGAAAATATGTTAAGTGAAATAAATCAGGCACAGAAAAATAAATACCACATATTATCACTCACATGTGGGAACTAACAAAAAAAAAGTTTAACTTTTAGAAGTAGAGAGCAGAACTCTGGTTACTAGAGGCTGAGAAGGGGAGGTGGGGAGCAGGAATAATGAGAGGTTGGTTAATGAACACAAAATTATAGACAGATAGGAAAAATAAGTCCTAGTGGTGAACAGTAGTGCTAGGCACCTATTATTAACAATAACTTACTGTATATTCTCAAATGGCTAGAAGAGAGGAGCTTACATCTTCTCAGCACAAAGAAACAATAATTTATTGTGATGACAAATTTGGTAATTACCCTGATTTTGTTACTAAACCTTGTATACATGTATTGAAGTATAATTCTGTATCCCATAAATATATACAATTAATATGTTTCAATTGAAAATAAGCAATAGAGGTTCATCATTTTCAAAATACTGTACTACAACATTGGAAATAAACTGTTCCTCTAGATTGTAATAATTTAAACCAGCTTTAGGCTGGACTGAATTTTTGTTTACACATTTCCTTTATCTAACAATCATAAAATAGTCTTCCAAACGCAATCACAAATATCAATGAAGAAATCTAGACATTGAAGTTCCGCTTTTAACACAGACAAATAATAGCCAAAGGCACAAAACTTTGTTCTCCAGCAAAGAAAGCATGCAATTAACAAAGGAGCTAATTGAATTTTTTCTTGAAAGATTTGACAGAATGGGCTGTGTTTTATTGACTTTTATATATTCAGTTCCTTGAACTTGGGACAAGATAAATAGCAAATGGTTAATAATTCACTGCTAAATAAAGAAATGAAGAATAAATGGCACTTAATTGCAGCAACACATTCTTGCCATTTCAGAATTTAATTGGAATGTAAAATTGGCACAATCAAATTTGGATGGAGCAGTGAGATCTACAAAAATAAAATAGCTTTTCTATCATTTCAAAGTTGCCCTTATAAGTGAATTTAATTTCTTCTTTTATCTAATTAGGAAACCTCTAAATATCCCAAAGATTATTAAGATTCCCTCATTCATCATATTTTAATATTATTCAAAGTGTTATAAATTACATAGTTTAAGCATTTTACTAATACTGTTCTGTTTAGGATAAATAATATTTTCTCATTAAAAAACTTCCTTGTAATTTTTCCCAAAAACTGTGAGTATGATTTTTCATATACAGATCTTGTTATCTGGCTTAATTTAAAATTAATATGCTCATAATACTTTCTCTCTATAGGAAATGCAGAGCAAGTCACTTTTACACTGATGCAGGTTTACAAAATGATAAATCAAATCCCTCAAAGCATAAAATTACATGTAGTAGCACCCTAGGGAAGCAAGCTGGTCTTTAAGCTAAGTTTTAGTTTTTTGTTCCCAAAACTAGTTCCACAAAGGTTATCATTATTGTTCATTTTATATATGATTTGCCAAGCTTAACTGCCCTCAGAAACATCTTCCCCTCTGGATGCTGGAGGGCACAAATAATATGATTAGGATAGTGATAAGAAAGAGTGTCTGCAAGTTAGAGAGGGCCGCTTGGATCGCTTGTTGAAGCAACAAATCCTTCACATACCCAAAATGCCATCTATGTCTTCCAGGTTATTCGTGATGGGAAAGCAGACAAATAAGAAATGTCTATAGAGCATAACAAGATATGTTTAAAAACTATTTGTTCCTGGGTTCAGATATGCTGGATTGCTTAATATTCAAATTTAACTCTCCAAAATGATTTCTTATTATACTGGCTTATAATGACCCAAGAAGAGAAATTAGAATGCAGAACAACATTCAGGCAATAAACTGAATAAAATGCAATGGAATGTTATGTATGGACAATTCATGTGCTTATTAGAATCATGGCTACACCTTGGATCCCACATATCCTGTTATTTGCTTGGGATTATAATTAATAATAAAAGACCACAACTGAATACTCACGTGAGAAATTTATTAGCTCTACAGTTCCCACCAATTTATTTTTAATTTTGTAATATTATAAATACCTACAGTTCATCTAAACATATGCATTATATTTTTTTAATGCAACACAGTGTATAGTTTTTCATAGTCTGAATTTTCTCATCAGAAAGGTCCAGTTTGAACATAGGATTCTATCATTTATGTTGGTTGCTAAATCTCTTATATCTATATAGATATAGATAATGGTTCTCAACAGTAATTGATCAATAAAAAACCTTTTATTGAGAATTTTCATAATATTTTATGTCAATAGTAAATACATTAAAATTAATAATAACAATGATAATAAAGCTATACACATTTTATGTAAAGAAATGCAATTTGGATTTGAAAAAATATTGGTGCTAATGCTGAGGTCTACAGCATTGATCACTTAGGAAAGTTATGGTTGATAATATTGTAAAAAAATACATATTATGGTATCAAATTTGCAGAACGTAAGAAACTCATCTCTCCACCAGTCCACATTAACATACAGAACTCTAGAACACAAGTAATTTGCTATAATACATTATTGCAGTGGACCACCAAGAAGGTGTGTCACCCAATTTTTTGCAACCGTTCTCCACAAAGTGTCACTAATTTGCCTTTTTTTCTTCTGGAGGTGGGGGAGGATGGGTTTCATGGTAAATTAATTTGGGGAAACCAAGAACACCACTATGTTTCCTGCTTAAAATTTCACCATTCATATTACTAGTTCAAAAACTTGAAATCCTGCAATAAAAATTATTTAATTATGGAATGCCTACAGAAAAACTGTTTTACAGAAAACAAAGAAACAGAATTGCAAGATTAAGAACAGTGGAAATAAAGCCTGTCATAGAATTAACTTAAATCTAAAGAAACTAAATTTATTTCAGAAAAAAATATAAGCTTATTCGATGGTGTTTCAAATTTTAGGGTATATTACAATAATTTTATCAACCCAAATAGATAAAAATCAGAGAAATCATATGAATCACTACTCTGAATATTTTAAGAACATAATGAAGAACAACTTCAGATTATGAAGAACCAAAGATTGTAAAAAAGGGGCTGGGTGCTTCGAATACGTCAGCTTGTATGTCATAAATCTAATTTTAAAAGGCTCTGTAAATTGGCAGCTGCAGCCAAAGTACTGAGTATTGTAGTCCCGTGTTTTACATTGCGTACAGCTTCATTTGTTGAATCATAAGAGAAATATCATATATTGAGACTATGATTATTTATAAATACGAAAAGCAATTAGAGAAGAAATCTATCCGGGAAGAACTCCAACCAGAGAATATAGCATAGAGTAGTAAGATGACTAAGAAATGCGAGCAGATAGCCTTGCTACGATTGATAGTGCTGAAACTCAAGGGATCTAGCGAAATACTTTGATACTTACAACACAACAAACAGCAAGTGCATCAGCATGTGCAAGTTTTTCTGAGTCAGAGTCCTATGGGAAGACAACATGGGCCTAAATGGAGGCTATGCATACAGTGGGTTGTGCCACAGCAGATGATCCCAGTTCAAGGGCTCAGCACTTTTTGTAGTGAGCAGCAAATAAGCCAGTCCTCTTCCTTGGGGAGCAAGGAGTTGCATAGAAATCACATGTGGTATCCTTGACCTACTTATAAGTACCTATGTGACTAGTACTGAAATTGCTCATTATAAGGAAACAGTAGGACCTTGTTGTTTGATATACTCAGCAAAGACATGCAGGGACATTCAGGAACCATGGCAGATTGCTCTCCCAATAAAAAGCAAACAATGTCTGTATCAAATTAATATAAAGAAATTATATTTTATTGCATACCTGTAGCATTTTTTTAAAAAACTTGTCATTCGGATACTTGGTATTCATATGACACCAATTTATAGCCAATAGTTTTGACTTCTTTTCACCACTTAAAGTAGCATGCTCTTATTAATTTATTGTGTTTTTGAAGAATGATCAACTTATTTAGATATAATTTATAAACTAAATTATAAAATATAAAATAATTCTTTAATTGAAATCCTCTACTTAAAATTTGCATAACTTGATGAATCTCTATAAGAATTGTGTAAGAGAAAGCTCTATCTGAACCTCAATTCAGGTGAGTTTGGCTGAAAGTTTGGTTTGGGATCAATTATTTCCCAGATCCTATGGCAGGTCAAACTATGGTAAATGGAAGTTTTATTCTTTGGCAAAGTGTTGTAAATTTTATGCTATAAAAAGATCCAACATTATAAAAATTCTAATAGTGGTATCAAAAACAAGATCTAATAAACGTCTTTGCAAACAGTTATGTACAGAAAAACAAAATTTGAGAGCTGTATCATGAAGTAATGTTTTAGTATGTATTCATTATCTGGTAAGGGATACATACATCTGCATGCATTTGTTATAAAGTGAAAATGACAAAATCAATACACACAGATTGCTAAGACACCACAGAGAAAGCCACTTAAAACACAGCCTGTGGCTGTGATGGTGGGTGGTATTGAAATCATCTCCAGATATGATATTATACCAGCACCTATAAGAGGAAACACTCACTGAATAAACAAGGGAAAGAAGGAAACTTCAAAGTGAAGGTACAATGTGAAAAAGAGCGGTGCAGCATAGAAAAGTGGTAAAGTTGGAAACATTTGCTGAAGTCCTAAGCAGGGTCAATATCATAAAAGGCCTGGTAGGTGGTAGCAATATAATGAAGAAACATTGGAGAATACTTGAGAGATATTGAAGAGATGGCATCATGAAATTCTTGGTGGACAATTAATTGTGTTTGGTGAGGAATAAACAGGACTTCAGGACGATTGTCAACTTTAATGTAGGGTGATCAAAGGTATGATAAACAACATGGATAATTTAAGAAAAGAATCAGGTTGGAGACTTTGTGGTAGATTGAACTGATGCTCCCAGTTGTTCATTCTTTCTCTCTGCAATAAGGTTGTGCATTCCAACACATTGTTGTGTCATTGCCCTGGAAAAGGAATATAAGACCAATTTTATTGATTTTGAGCATAGCCAAAGGACAAGTTTTGACCAAGAAAATGTGAGCAGATATGAAGTTTACATCACCTCATTCAGGCAAAAAGTATAAATGTGACTGTGCAATATGGCTTGGGCACCTGCATGCCTATCTTCTGCCACAAGAACACCATGTCCCAAGATAATGTTTGTTCTTCAACCTGTATCTCAGAATTAGAAGATATGTGGAGCCCAGGCAAGCTTAGCAGAGACACAATTGACCTATGGCCATCATGAAATGTAGGCAAGAAATGTTAGTTGTTATAATTTATTGTGAAAATAAGATAGTTTGTTATCACAGCAAAACCTAACTAACAAGCAAATGATGTTTGGTTCAGTTTAATATTTAGTTTGAGTTACTTACTGAGAAATGTATGGAGAACGTTGAATAGAAAGCTGTTTAGATATAGAAGGTACAGAAATAGTAAGTAAGAGGCAGAAGATGAAGATAAGAGAAAAATGTACCTCTCAAACTGTCTTGGCAATAATAAAGATTATTAGATGAGCTCCTTTTTCTTGGCACTAGATAACTAATAAATCATTTTCAGCACCTCTATCCAAAGATGAGGGTGGCATGGCACAGCCCATAATTTAGGATCCCAAAGTAAAAGAACTTTTTGGCTCCAAGAAAAGCAACATAAAAATTCATGTAATTGAGATGTTTTATATGAGTAGGCCTGTGTTCAATGAACTAGCCTTGCTCAATAATATTTTTTTGGAAATCCCACTTTATATCATTGTAACTAGTTTCTCTAGAAATAGTACCTTGGGAATATTTTTTTTTTTAACTTCAAAGAGAAATTTAGTAGTGCCATCAGAAAAGTAGTTGACTGAGTTCTGTTAGTGACATAAAGTGTTAAAATGTTTGATTTTTAAGACAAACTTGACTTTCCTTTTATTTCAATCTATTATAGTCTTAAGCATTACTTGGATATTTTCCTTAGTGAGTTCACAATATTAAACTCTTCGAGTCTTTTTCTATTAAGAAAGTTAAGGGCCGGCCCTGTGGCGCACTGCTACAGTGCGCCGCTTGAGAGGGCGGCGGCGCTCCCGCCGAGGGTTCGGATCCCACATACAGACCGGTTCCCGCTCACTGGCTGAGCGAGGTGCGGGCGCAACACCGAGGATTGCGATCCCGTTGCCGGTCCCGGTCCAGTCCAGTACGGGCGCGACACTGAGGGTTGCGATCCGTTGCCGGACACGAAAAAAGACAAAAAGGAAAAAAAAATAATAATAAAGAAAGTTAAACCCTTAGTTTATCAGTAGTGCGGATTAACTTTATCTTAATGCAGCTGCAAGAGAATAAATCATTTATGGAATCATAACCTCACCAAAAGTATAGTTCATTTGAGTTCTTGGGTTATTTGTGAAAATAATTTATTTCTATTGTAAATATTTTAGTTAATAGGAAATTTCTTGATGGTGCATGGCCTGTCTTTGTTATAAAAATCACAATCATGTCTGAACATTTGTATTTATACCTAAACACTTAAGGCATCAAACTATGAAAATAAAAAGACTTCAAGGGTTTGCTATTTATTAGCACTTTCAGGAATGAACAATATCTTCTTGATTTCTGTATCTCCAGTGTCTAGCCAATACATAATAAGCATTAAATAAAAGATTAAAGAGTGCCTTTCTCAGCCCAGGCAATTCAATATCATATGCAAGGATATACGTATGGTACTTAAGAAATGCTTGAGGATACATAACAAAGATCAGATTTAGCCAGGACTATTAATGAGTTAATTGTTAAAAATAAATTAATTAGTGCACGATTGTGAGATGTAGACAATTCTCGGATTTGGCACTAGATACCCAACCAGGGACATAGGCAAGGGTATGTTTAAGCTGTACAATCTAACCAATGATGTGCAGAAAATCAACTCAGCCTAGACAGATGAGAAAGGATACTTCTTACACAACATGAGCCAGGGTCAGCTTTCACAAACCCAAACTAGAAAGGAAATGATTAAGAAGAGATTTCAACTGTTTAGTATGGATCTAATTTTGAAATTAAATCTGTGTTTAAGGTGATAATAATAAATAATAATAATAATAATAATAATAAATATGTAGAAATATCTAAAAGTTCAAAATGATGGGCAGGATCAAACAAAAGAGTAGGATTTTTGCACTGTAGTGGTACTTCTATATAAACTCAAATATTTTAGCTTCCCAGAACAAGGTGTGTTTCAGTAGATGCTAGCGGTCATGGTGGAGGCATAAATCTTCTGGAGAAATCTCAATAGTCTACTGGTTGTATCTTATGGAGGAATCACCGCTACAGTTTATTTTTTCTTGTAATTCTCTCTCGAATTCTGTTTAGGAATAAAATTACTGGGTAGTGCAGATGTTTTATATGTCTATTAAATAGGCTAATTTTTGAGATAAGTTTTAATTTTTAATTGAATTTTAAAATAAGCATTAGAATTAATTTGTCATAGCCATTTTATGTAAATGGAAATTAAATAAATATTTATAACCTGTAAAAATGCAGATATAGCCTATTTACCACCAAAGCCTCCAAACTTTGTATTTCTCCACTTCGAAGGTAATAAGTAACACATTTTTGCTGAGATAAAAGAGAAGGTAGCACAGAAGTAAAGTATCTGGTTTAGATGAAGGATAAAAATACAGAATTTTGCATATTGTTTTATGTCCTGTAACACCAAAAACAAACCATGACTCTTTAGATAAAACAGAAAGAAAGCTAAAGGAGTTTAGTGCCTACTCTTCACTATGTCATATGTTATTCTAGTCAAAGTTCATAGCAATTGTTTCAAAAAAAACACTATTATTTTCGATTTTTAGACAATGAAATTGAATGTCAGAATGCTTGAGGAAATTGTGCAAAATCACATATCTAGCAATCAAGAGTTTTGCTATAAACTTACCTCTGTCTTATTATTTTATTCATGCAGCAAGAATCTATTAATCACGTAATGCAGGCCAACAAGTGTTCTAGGTAAATATGTCTCCAATAAACTTTGGAATTCTATGTTATCATATTTTATTAAGTCAGTCATTTAATCTTTCTGAGTGTCAATATCTCCATTTAGAAAATGTAGATAATTCTACCTCTTCCCCTACGAAGTTGAAATAATACAATTGAAATTGTTTTATAAATTATAAAGTGCTATTTAAATATTAGTTTAAAGTAAATAATTGGTTCCCTGTTTTTGTATTAGCATTAGGCAAATATTGGTAACTGCAATGGGGAAGATAGGTAGAGCATTCAGCAGTTGTATTTAATAATAATTTATAAAGCACATCTATGGGTATAGGCCTGAGATAAAGAAAACAATTAATTCAGTTGTTTGGAAAATACATTTTGAACTCAAGCCATGAGTGTTTTACAGGTTAGGATTAGAAGTATATAATTTGTCTTGAGGTAAGTCTTGGTAGACTTATAACATTGAATGATGAAAAATTTGATGTCACCATGAAGTATTGTTAGCCTACATGTTGTATTGGATTATAATGGTGGAGAATGAATTTTTGCAGTTCAGAAAAAGGAGTTTGAGGTAGGAAAATTATTACCTAACAAGTGAGAGTACTAAGATTGAAGACAGAGACAGGAAAAAAAATAGAGAGAGATGAAAACAGAGGAAGGAAGGAATAGAAACAAAGTGAAAAAAAAGAAAAATTGAGACGTTAGAAAAAAACTGGCGGAGATCTTAGCATCATATATGTTATTCTTACTGTAGGCCAATTTCCTCATAAATCAATTCTGATATATTGTTTGGGTAATTTATAAAATGTAATATTGCAAAGCCATTATGACATAATATTATGCAAATTTAATTGGATTTAATATAGGGATCAATAATTAAGATTTTTTAAGTTAATAATAGACTTTTTGATGGTCTTTTCATTAAAATTCACACAATGTCTTGAAATTTTACATAGATCATGTCATGATTTTTTCAGAAAATATCCAAATTTGAACATATCGAAGTAAATAATAAATATTATTACCAAGGCTCAATAGAATAATTAGAATCAGTTTTATGTTTATAGTTAAGACATCAGATTAAAGAGTTATTGTTCTATTTGAGATATATTTTTTATCTCAGAGCCAAAATTGTAAGGCAGTCTTCCAGAGTAAGAAAAACCCATACTTCTTTTTATGGGTAAGCTGGGTGAAGATGAGGGAAGCAAACATTTATAGTGAATGAATCCACACATTAATAATTTAGGTTGACTATAAGAAAGTGGTTTTTGTTTTGCTATTTATGTAGACTTGAATTCCTAAAGTATTTCTTTTATACCATGTACAATTAATTATATATTAATAACTAGTTACAAAATAATGAAAGCATCATAAATTGTAAGAAATTAGAAAAAACATTAAAATTATATATGCCGGAGGCATTAAAACTTTTATAGCATCAGAACTCTTTATCTGGATGATATCTGATATGAAAAACTGATTATATGAAATATAAAATGCTGGCTAAAATAATTTAATATGCTTCTAGATGAGTAGGTCTGGAGAGAATTAACAGAAGCCAAGGAAGATAATGTAATGTGGTTCTATAAATGCTATTAAGCAATGAAGTTTCCAGCTACCATCAGGGAATAAATAGAAATGAGGTACTAAATCTCTTTCATTTAAGATTAGAGTCTTATAATGGTAGAGGGTTGCATTGGAGAATATCAAACACAAAGCTAATTTTAGAATAAGATAAATAAGTGGGAAAAGGTAAGGAAAAAATGAAGAAAAGAAGTAAACCTACACCAAATGGAAACAGACCACAAAGAAAACTCTAAACCTGCTCTCTTACTTGATGAGGGTAAAAAAAAAAAAAGACAAGACAAGTATAACAACGATTTGGTAACAGAAAAAAAAGGGGGGGGGGGCCTAACAACCATTTGGTAACAGATTGAAGTCTGAATTTACAGTGCTACATAAAGGTTTTTAATACAATTTAAGAGGAACTGGGTTTG